CAGGCCGGCCTGGGCTACATGAGACCCTGTCTTAAAGAAGTAAAACAAAACACAAAAAGGAGGTAAGAGCTTAAAGTGCATTCTGGTGGCCTCGACAGAAACTGTGTGAGTAGAGAACAGCAAGCTAGTCTCTAGTAAACTGGGGCAAAAAGTAACTCCTGCTCATTGTTAAGACCTTGGTGGTCACATGATTAGACCCTAAGCTGGGGCAGTAGAGTCCAGAGGGACTGCTCCACAGCCCTCACCCGGGCTCTTTCCTGTCCACAAGCCTAAGGGCTTTTTCTTTCCAGAAAGGGTCCAATTGCAACCCAGGCTGGCCTAGAACTCACAGGGATCCACTTTTGTCTGCCTCCTGGGTGCTGGGATTGTACTCCACCATGCCCATCTCTGAGGGCTTCTCTGAGTGTCAAGGCAGCTTCAACAGGAGGAAAAGGCTCACAATGGAGGGCAGCTCACTTAGATCTTTGCACTGGACACGGGCCATGGTGTCTTTGCACTTATCTGTTTGCTTCTCCATGAGCATGGACCAGCTCCTTGGGCCTCAACTCTCATATTTCTTCTTATTCAATGTTTCCCCCACTCCCCACACCCCATGGATTAAGGATTCAAAGATGCAATTAATAAGCTTCCAGGTTATCCCAGATAATTTAGAGTTGAACCTCAAAGAGAAAACTGGGAAAGATCCATTATGTATTTACATAATGTACCCTGATATGCTTCCAGCAAAGGGATATAAAACTATCTGTTGCCAGACGTCTTTAATCCCAGCACTCTGGAAGCAGAGGCAGATCTCTATAAATTTGAGGCTAGCCTGGTCTAAAAAGCAAGTTCCATGCCAGCCAGAGCTACATAGTAAGATACTCTCTAGAAAAAACAAAAGTAAACACTCATCTGACAGAGAAAGAGTATCTTTTAAGGCACAGAATTCAGAGCAAATCCCCCACAGCCACTTTCTCCTACATCAGCCTGAAGGCTCTGCTTTGGCATTACAATAATACGTCCCCACAGAAGCAAGAACATGAAGGGAAGGCACATTTACACATCTGTCAAGAATTTCCTTGAAGCCAGGAAGAACAGAAGTTATAACATTCTTTTTCTCTTTTTTTGGAGAAAGAGTTACAACTAACATGCAAATGTAGGGTATACATCCCTGAATTAACACTGGTATTCCTCCAGCAGCTTTCCTGTGGACGAGTCCTAAGTCTGGCATTCTCCTGCTCAGCTCCAGCCTTGGGACGGCTCATCTGCTATACTTGATCCTCATGTATCCAGCCTTAGGAGTCAGCTGGGACCACTTAACCCAGAAGATCCATAGTACCTTCTCAACTGACCCAATCCAGATGTGGAGCTCACACCTATAGACCCAGCACTCAAGAGGCTGAGGCAGGACCGCCCTGATCTTTAAGTCAGCCTGGGCTACAAACTTGCCCTGATCTTAAGTCAGCCTGGGCTACAAACTTACCGGCTGCCCTAGAAGGTTATGTGAAGTCATGGAATGGCATTAGTCTATTCAGTGTCTACTTCCTTATTCTCTGTGTGAGTGTGGTGCACCTGAGTGTGTGTCTGTGTCTGTGTGCGGAGGGTAGAGAGCGTTGGGTGTCCTCCATTCCTTTCTGCTGTCTCTCCCTGAACCTGAAATTCACCTTTTCGGTGAGGCTGTCAGCCGGCAAACCCCAGTGACCCTCCTTCCTCAGCCTATTGGAGGGTTAGATTTACAGGCTTGTTAAGAGTGGGTGCTGAGATCCCAATCTGGGCCTTCACACTTGTACATCCCAAGTGTTCTTATCACTGAGCAATTTCTCTAGCCCCGCCTCTTCTTTGTTCTTAGACAGTGTCATCATGTACCCAGTGTGGCCTCTAAGTCTACTGCCTCTTGCTTCAGCCTCCTCAGTGCTGGGAATTTCCATGTGTCCCCATGCTTGGCTGTCCAATACTTAATTTCTAACTAACTGAGAGTGTCCTCTCCCACATCCTCGCATCCCCATAGCAGTGTAACTGAAAAGCAAGGCCTACTTCCTTTTTGAGATGTAAACAGAGACCTCATGTTCAAAAGTGATGTGGAGCAATGAACCAGGCTCTCCCTGCTCAGAAGGGCGGACTACATGGACAGATCTCATCTCCACGGTAACTACCAAGATAATGAGGTGCATAGGCGTGCATATCCTCTGCAGAGTTAATCTCCATCCCCTTATAAGGAGGGAGGGAATTAAAGTCAACATATGTTCCAAGAATGTAAACAAAGCCATCTAAAAAGAAACTTGCTCCCTCTACTGAGCCAAGGTCCTAAAATGTCACACGCAGCAGCTTATTGCTAGCACCCATCCCCTGGTGTCTCAGAAGAGCCCAGCAACAGGAGCAGACTGATCTGAAAGCAGACACAGCTCCAGCCTTGGCCACACAAGCCCCCTCCACTGTGCTTCCAGACATTCTCAAGGCACCAGAACAATCCCTGATGCTCAGACTCATGAAGCAGACCTAGTCAAAGTGCCAGCAGCCAAGATTCATTTCAAAACAGCCATTTCTGCCTACAAACCTCTAAGAGTCAGTTCTGTTTGTTAAACTTGATTTAGAGAATTATTTCTTCAGCCTATTTTGAGCCAAAAATGATTCTATACCTTTGAAACACTGCAACAAATTATTCCACTAACCAAGATAAATAGAACCATGTTAAGTGTTAAGCTTTTTCCAGGTTAAAAATGCACATTTTCTTCATGATCACTAATTAGGAAACATATTCTCAACAGTCATTCAAATGTGTACTTGGCACATGTCCCTCTGGTTTCTTCTAATGTATAATGAGGCAGGCAAATCTATGTGCCCTTCCAAACCTCTCCCTCTGCTTCCCCCCCTTTGGGTAGACAGGGTATAAGCTGGCCCCAAACCTGATAAATAACCAGGGATGGCCCTGAACTTCTGAACTCTTGACTCCCTCTTCTAGTTCTGAGATTACATACATGTACTAGAACATCCTGTTTACATTTGTAAAAAACAGCAGGCAAGGGCTCTTCCTAAACTATAGTCTTGGCCCTTTCTTTCTTAAGACAGGTGTCTCTGCCAGGCAGTGGTGGTACACATCTTTATCCCAGCACTTGGGAGGCAGAGGCAGAGGCAGGGGGACATCTTTGAGTTCGAGGCCAGCCTGGTCTACAGAGCAAGCTCAGGACAGCCAGGTTTACACAGAGAAAACCTGTCTTGGGGGGTGGGAGGGACAAAGGGGATGGACAGGTGTCTCTGTGGCCCATGCTGTCTTAGAGAACTCACTAGTTGCCTAGTAGTCTGGATTTGATATTGCAGTGACCTTCTGAGTTGGGATTATAGGCATGAGCCATAATGCTTAGATGCCCTGTTTTTGAGACAGGTTCTAACACCGTAGCTTAGGTTGGCTTCAAACTCATGTTTATCCTCTTGCTGTAGCCTCCTGAGTACGGAGATTATACAATGCCCAGCTACATAAACAAAAAAACCTCTTCATGTTTTAATAATAGAGACTTACCCCAACCCCAACTCAACAACAACCCAGCCCCGAAAATCTTAGCAAAAGTGAGCAGAGAGGAGAGAGGGGAGGTCACAAGGGCCCAGATGTATGGCTCCTTGCTCTGTGGCAGTGACACCTGCCTCCTTTGTCACCCATCCTGAAAACTAGAAGGCACAGCACTCTACTGGCTCACATTAACAAAAAGCAGCAATTTAGTCATCCATAATCAAACAGAAACAAGCCTACATGGCGTCAGCCTTCAACTCTGTACACTTCTTCACTTCTTCTTCTTTTTTTTTTTTTTTTTTTTTTTTTGGTCTTAGATTGGAAAGCACCAATATCCTATGTGACAGAATACTCAACCAAATGTTACATAATTTGAAGAGTCTGAGCTTGACTTTATATAAACAGATGTTTGGGAGGAAGATGCCATGACAACAGGACCACAGCTTAGAAGCCTCGTTCTGACACGGCCCAGTCTCAGGAGATGCAGTCTGGAGGACACTGGTTTACATATACTTCACATAAGTAAATGATCTTTCCGGCATTTCAAAGTGTGATGTCTATTGCTTTTTTCTTTGTTCCCTGCCCCTCACTTTGTTGTGTATGTACAGTGTCAAAGGAGGAACCCAGGGCCTCCTTGCATGCTAAGTACCACTGAGCTAGTCCTCACATTTTTTTCTTTCTCTCTTTTTTTGCTACTGTCAGTTGAGGTCTGTGTTGCCCTGGTTGGCCTGGAACTCACTATGTGGACCAGGCCAGTTAGAATCCCAAAGACCTGGCTGCCTCTGCTACCTGAGTGCAGGGACGAGAGCACACAGAGCCTAGCCAGCTCAGAGTTTTTGGAGTGTGTGTGTGATTTTCTCTTTTTAGGAAAATCTTACTGTAGCCAAAGCTGACCTTGAGCTAGCAAGTGACCTCCTGTCTCAGCCTCACAGTGCTGGGATCACAGATTACAAGCATGCACCACTATGGCTGGTTTAATTTTATTTTTTTAAACTGGTGTCTAAGCTATGAACATACAATTTATCAATCAATCACAAGTCACCTTCCTTTGCTTTCTTATTTATTTATTTATTTGTTGAGGCAGGCTCTCTCTGTATGTAGCCCTGGCTATCCCAGACTCTCTTTGTAGACTAGGCTGGCCTCAAGCTTACAGATATGCACCTGCTTCTCTCCTGAGCACTGGAAGAGGTGCATACCACCACACTTGATTTAACTTTCTTTCTTGCATTAAGGTACTATAATTTAGCCCAGGCTGACCTGTGATTGATTATGAACCTCAAGCTGACTTCAAACCCATGATAATCTTCTTGCCTCGTGTTCCCTAAGTGTGTACCTTGGCATTCAACTAACTGGACTTTTAAGTTTTTATTTGTATGTATATGTGTGAGTGTTCAGAGAGGCCAGAAAAGGGCAATTGATTCCGTGCAGCTGGAATTGCATGTCGTTGTAAGCAGCTTCATATGGGTGCTGGGAACTGAACTCAAGTTCTTTGCAAGAGCAGACAATAAACCACTGGTCCACTGCTCCACTCCTGTTTTGTTTGGCTTTGCTTTATCTGGAGTCAGGGTGTCATTATGGAGCCTTGGCTGGCCAGGAACTTGATATGTGGACCAGACTGGCCTAGAACTCAGAGATCTGACTGTCTGCACTCCAGAGTGCTGGGGATTAAAGGTGTTCAACAGCACACCTGTCCCTCTTTCACTGAAGGAGTCTGTAGCTCATGCTGACCTCAAACTCATTAGCTGGGTTTCATTTTCCTGAGTGCTGGCCTTATAGGTAGGTATGTACTACCATTCCTAGCTTTATAGATTCCTTTTCAGTGAATTAACAAGGCATAGCTTGTGTGTCTGCTCTCTTAGAAATGTACAGTATCATTAGCCAGGCTGTGGTGGCCTTTAATCCCAGTTCTGGGGAAGCAGAGACAGGCAGATCTGTGAATTCAAGGCCAGCCTGATCAACAGAGTAAGTTCTATGACAGCTAGGGCTACACAGAGAAACCCTGTCTGGAACCTCTCTCCTCCCTCTCCCCCCAAAAAAAAGGAAAAAAAGAAAGGAATGTATGGTATCTTACTCCTCCTCAGGAGGAGGCTTCCTACTTCTGTTATCAGTTTCATAAATCTAAGGCAAATTTCAGGTCACTTGAAACTCTCAGGTAAAATTATTAAGGCTCTTGGTATATATGTATTACAAGTATTATCTTAAAATCTTTTGATATAAAGTTATTTAAAAAAAAATAAACCCTCAATGCCCAGTATTAAAGCAATGATAGGAGCTGAGAGATTTGGTCCCGGTCCTTTGGTCCCTTAGATGCCCCTAAGGTGGCTGAGTTTTCCAGCTGCACATACAGCCTTCCTGGGCCCAGGCACTGAGCCCTGCTACTGTTACCTTCTTACAGACAGTCTCAATCTGTGCACGATGCTTACCCTCTGTACTTTCTTCTTAAAAAGAATAAGATGAATGAATGCAAGTCATGGCCTTTGTGTGTTAAGATGACACAGTTTCTATGGAAACACTAGTGTGAGGCTCTGTGGTCCTTGCCGACTTCATCACTTCTGCTGTTCTTTCTTCTGCTTCCCCTTCTGTCACTACTACAGCATCCACTTCAGCTACCTCCTCAACCACGGTGAAATCAACTCCATTGGGCTGCTGTCGGGCCATAGCCTCCAGTTTGAGTCGGTACTGTTCTGCCTCCTGCTCTTTCTTGAGAAGCTGGTGTCTGTATTCCTGGGCTCTTCTATTGGCCTCTTGGAGCTGCTGCTGCAGAAACTCTCTCTCACTGCCTTCCTGCAGAGCAAACAATGTCAGCACAGTAAGAATCCCCATCCATAGCTTCCATTTCCTTACTCTTCCTTCTCTGCCTCTCATGGTAAAGACCTTATTACCTTGTTTTCCTCAGCACTGTTTGCCATCTCTGCCATCCTTGGTCTCTTTGCCAATGGCAGCTTCTCTTCTTCCTCTTCTTCCTCTTCAATTATTGTCTCCTCTGCAACCTGACCAGCAGGTACAGTTAGAACTACAAGCCAAGCACACCAATGGGAGATAATGAGCACAAAATATACAAAGAAGACTTGTTTGATTGTAACTAGAAAAGAGTGATAATGTTATTATTGAAATAATATTATTATTTTGGCATGGCTTCTTGTATGTGTTTTACTACCAGGTCATCCCTCCCCATACACTGCCATCTTTTTAGAGCTTAGACTCTTTAGCTGGGGGTACATGCCCTCAGTGCCCGTGCTCAGGAGTAGGAGGCAGGCAGAGCTCCGATTCTGAGCTTAGCCTGGTCAACAGCAGGGCTCTCTGTAGCCCTGTCTCTAAAAGCAAAACCAAAAACAACACAGCACAGTGCCTGAAGTAAAAAAGAAGGTGAAGCCCCCAGAAAGAACAGAAAAGAAGAGGAGCCCAGGAAGGCAGAATGGCAGCTCAGAAACCCCGAAGACCTCAGGTTCCTTTTTTTTTTTTTTTTTTTTTTTTTTGACAAATACACAGAAAGAACTTTAAGACAAAGTCCTTTGGCTTAGCCAAACATGGTGGTGCATGCTTCTGATCTCAGCATTCACGGGGCTGAGGCAGAACAGTTTCAAGTCCTCACTGGCCTACACAGTGAGCTAGCAGACCTGGATGGGGGGAGGGAGGAGGGAGAATCAATACTTTGAGCCTGGCATGATGGCTCATGCCAATAATTCCAGCAGGCATTTGGGAGGTAGAGTCAAGAGAAACAGACTTCAAGGCCATCTTGTAATGTTTGGGGCCAGTCTATGCTATAAGAGCTACTGTTTCAAAGGAAAAAAATAAAATAGAGGGTGGTAGTCACAGCTCTAACTCCAGCGCTCAGGAAAAGGGTAGGAAGACTGCTTTGACTTCAGTGTCCCCCAGACTGCTTTGACTTCAGCAACCCCTAGGTAACATAGTGAATTTGAGGCCAGGCCTAATTAAGATCTTGCCCAAATTATTTTCCTTTTTTAAAACACTTTTATTAGTTTTTATATTCTAATCCCAGTACCCCATCCTTTCTCTCTTCCCAGTCCCCTCCCCCCACCTCCCATATGCTCTTTTAAATAATAAAACGGGCTTGGAAAGACACAAATTATGAGCCATCTTCCTGCCTCAGCCTCTTGAGTGCAGAGGTTAAAGGCATAGTGAGTTCTTGGCCAGCCAGAGCTGCAGAGTGGAACAGTAGCTCACAAAATAGGCTGAGGAGATAACTCAGCTTGTAGACTGCTTGTCTGATGTGCAAGAGATGCCCATCCACAAGTCAAAGAGAAAAGCTTCACAAGAAACCAAGCCACACCCTGGTCTAGCCTCCAGAAACTAGATTTTTATAAGGCTCCTGTCGTCACTGTCATGTTTTATACTGACATTTCTAGCAGGCTATAAAAGAGGGCACCCCTGCATGTGCTGCTTACATATATGTTCAGAGAACATAGATATCTAGGAGTCATTCCATGCAACCATTCATCCTTTGCAGCTGACTCAATGCAATCTGACTTTAATCCCAGTCTGTTCCCTGTAGGCCTTGAGTCCTTTTGTAGTCAGATGTCCTAGAGCTCGGAGTTTTCTGTACTTTGTCAGAATCTCCTGCATCTCTTGCACATCAGACAAGCTCATGTCAATCAGGCTGGTCTGGAACTTCCTGCTTCTGTCCCCCTAGTGCTGAGTTCCTGACCTGTGCCCAGGGTCTAATGTGTTTTCTGATCTGAGTTTTTTTCCCCTAGATTATCCTCTCTGTGTAGCTCAAGGTGTTGTTACCACAGGCACATGCCACCATGTGTGGTTGAGATCATTTATGTTTACTCACAAATTATGTATCTGTTAGGGAAATTAAATTAGCCTATGTAGCTTGGTGGTGTTTCTTCCTAGAGGTTCTATCAATCTCCAGCCTTCCTCCAACTCCTGCAACCTGTCTTACTGTCTCATTCTTAAGGGAATATGGCATATCTAAAATATTAAGTATTTGTCAACTGGATATAACTTACCTTGCTGTCCATCTTGCATCGTTACAATAAAGGGCTGGCCAATGCCTCCAGTAGGGATTGAGGTTTGAATGTTACCCAGAGGGACTCCATCAGTCACTATGGTGATGACCCTCTGGCCTCCACTCCCCACCACTTGCTGGACTGAGGAGTCAAGTGAATTTCCTTCTTCAATTTCTTCTAAGTTAGCTAGAGATAACAAAAGTGAATTTAAAATATTAAGTTTATAAAAAAAATAAGAATACAAGTTTCATCATCCTCTTTGAAATAATACTCAAAATATTTTTGAAAAAGGAAAAAAATTTAGTTGATTTTTATTTTGAGATAGGGTCTCTGTATCCAGGCAGGCTCAGCCTGTCAGTTTCCCGTGTGCCAGGATTATGAGACTGAGCAACAGTAACTATCCAGAAAAGCTTTAATGAACAGTAAGTTAGGAGAAAAGAACAGAAAAAAAACCTCTGTTAGAACAATAGTTTCTAAAAATGTCCTTGCTGAGATGTTAATAGTGTTCAATAAAGGTGGGTTCTAGGGCACAGTTGGCAGCATATACTATAACCACATCACTCAGGAGGCTGAGGTAGGAGGATCACCATGAGTTCCAGGCCAGCCTGGGACATGTAATGAGATTCTGTCCTAAGAAACAAACAAAAAAACAAATAACAAAAAAGAGATAGGTCCTACACACAAATACATTTTGAAATGCTAGTTGAAATATACTTAAACTGCTGGGCGTTGGTTCATGCTTAATCCCAGCATTCAGGAGGCAGAGGCAGGTGGATCTCTTTGAGTTCTAGGATAGCCTCCAAAGCTACAGAAAAACCCTGTCTTGAAAAACCAAACCAAACCAAACCAAAACACACTTACACTTTCCAGGTGTGGTGGGGCATGAGTAAAATCCTGTTATTTGGTAGGCCAAAGCAGGAGGGTTGCAAATTCTAAGCTACATATGGTATTAGAGGCTAGCCTGAGCTACATGAGTCTGTCTCAAAGAAAACAAAACTAAGCTATATACATACTTTCTAAGGAGTGGTGGGGTGGAGCAGGGTCTCCTATAGTCCAGGCTAGCCTCAAATTCACAGGGGAGCTGAGAGTGATCTAGGACCCTTGATCCTCCTGCTTCTACCACACACATGCCGGGATTTCAAGTGTGAGCCACCATGCTTTACATGGAAGCAGGAGTTGAGTTATGAGATCCTAGTTCAGAAAAACCAAAACATACCAATGATCCACATCCAAAGAAACCACAAAGTTCAAATGTCGTAATAGAAATCTAACACAACCACCATGCCAGATAAGGAAACTAGTGACCTGGCAAACTTAAATGATTTACCTCAAGCCAGGAAGCAAACTGATAAGTGTACTACAGTATGTTTCTCTTGATAACATTTCCAAGTATATCTTTTTCTTTCTTTTCTTTTCTTTCTTTCTTTTACAGGGTTTCTCTATGTAGTCCTAGAACTCACTCTGTAGACCAGACTGGCCTCAAAGATCTGTATGCCTCTTCCTAATGAGTTCTGGGTTTAAAGGAGCATGTCACCATGTCCAACCTGAGTAAATTACTTTAAAGTTAGTACTGGTAATAAAAATGACTATCAATGGAGCAATGTTCTCGTCTCCCAAATATCAATGGAAGAAAGACATCACAACAAGTTACTTTCTTTAATGAAAGAGCAGTTGGCTAGAACTTCTAGAGGAGTCTACTGAGCCCTATCTGTAATTATCTGCTACTAGCTATATGAATTCCTAGGGTTTTTCTTCACAGGCTACCACCAACCCTGGCTAAGTAACTTGGAACTTAAAATTTTTAAAATTTTTTTTCTTTGTGAGTGTGTATAGTGCACACATTGAGGTCATAAAGACAATCTAAGTAGGAATTGGTTTCCTTTTCTTTTCTTTTGTCTGTCTGTTTTGTTTTCCAGACAGGGTTTCTCTATGTAACAGTCCTGGCAGTCCCAAGTGCTGGGATTAAAGACATGTGCCACCATCACCTGGCTAGGAATTGGTTTTCTATGCACCATGTGAGTTCTTGGGTTGTCAGGCCTGGTGGAAATTCTTACTTGCTGAGCCATTTTGCCAGTCCCTGAAAATTTGTTTTAGTTACTAGAAGAGCATTCTGAAGCACATCTCCCCAACTCTACTGGAAATGCCAGAACTGTATTTTCTCCAAGCTTAAGCACATGTAGTAAGTAGAACCATGAGAACATAGCAGGAACACATCTATGGTGTATTTCAAGACTTTTTTTTCTAGACAGGGTTTCTCTGTATAGCCCTGGCTGTGCTGGCACTCACTCTGTAGACCAGACTGGCCTTGAACTCACAGAGATCTGCCTGCCTCTGCCTCCTGAGTGCTGGGATTAAAGGAGTGTTCCACTGTGCTCAGCAAAAGTCTTTGCTATTTAATATAATTTAAAACTACTGGACAGTAGTAACAAAAGGAACTGTACTTCACCCAGCAGACATCTACCACCTGTGGCTCTGTGTGTGCTGGAGAAGGGGCTGATGCCCCTGGCTCCCAGTGCCGGGATTAAAGGTGTACACCACCACTTCTGGCAACCCCCCCACTTTTGCCTGAGGACTTGGGCAGGGGATGTCACGAAACATCTAGAGAGCTGAGTGGCATGAGTGGAGCATAGTACCTGATGCCCAGGACCTCGAGTCTTGCTAATAACACATTAGACTCAGCTGCTTGTTACTCCTGAATGTTGTTAGGTTCCTGTGTTTCTTATCTTTTAGTCTGTCACAGCAGGGCTAATGTAAGAATCCATAAATCCTCCCAACTGAGACAAACAAACAAACAAAAAAACAAACAAACAAAACTTACTTATGCATGTTCGTGTGTGCCAGAATGAGTTTATGTACCGATACCCTCAGGATCCATGGGGTACTGGATCCCCTGAACTGCAGTTACAACAGGCAGTTATGAGCCTTTTGATGTGGGCACGGAGAACAGAACCTTGACTATATTGACCAGGATGGCCTCAAACTAACAAAAGTTGCCTCTGCCTCCCAAGAGCTGAGATTATGCCACTGCACCTGGGTCCTCCCACCTTCATGTGGGTTCTGGGTAATCAAATTCAGGTCATCAAGCTCAGACGGCATATGCTTACCCACTGGGCCATTTGTTGCCCTATTCTTGAAATTCTGAACCACCTGCCTCAGCCTCCTAAGTAGACAGGATTACAGACTTCATCTTATATGTCTGATCAAGGTTTTTGAATTACTGAAAACACTTTTCAGCTGGGCAGTGTTGGTGCAAGCATTTAATCCCAGCAGGCAGGAGGCAGAGACAGGTGTGGATGGATCTCTGTGAGTTCAAGGCCAGCCTGGTCTACAGAATGAGTTCCAGGATAGGCTCCAAAGCTACAGAGAAATCCTGTCTCAAAAAAACAAATCAAATTGGCACAAAAATAGACAGGTAGACCAATGAAATCGAATTGGAAACTGTGATAATTAATCCATACACCTTCAAACACCTGATTTTTTTTTTTTTTAAACAAAGAAACTAAAATTATACAATGGAAAAAAGAAAGCAACTTCAACAAATGGTGATGACATAACTGGATACTGGTGTGTAGAAGACTGCAGACAGATACATATTTATTGTCATGAACAAAACTTATGTCCAAATGGATCAAAGACCTCAACTTAAATCCAGCCACACTGAATCTCAGAAGAAAAAGTGGGAGGTACCCTTGAATGAACTGGTACAGGAGACCATTTCCTGAACAAAACACCAGTAGCACAGACACTGAGATCAACAATTAATAAATGGGACCCCCTGAAACCGAGAAGCTTTTGTAAGGTAAAGGACACAGTCAACAAGACAAAACGGCAGCCCACAGAATGAGAAAAGGTCTTCACCAACCCCAGATCTGATAGAAGGCTGATTTCCAAAATATACAAAGAACTCAAGAAGCTAGTCAACAAAACACCAAATAACCCAATTAAAAAGAGGGGTACAGAACTAAATAGAGTATTCTCAATAGAGGAATCTAAAATAGCTGAAAGACACTTAAGAGATTATTCAACATCCTTAGCCATCAGGGAAAAGCAAATCAAAACAAATCTGAGATACCTCTTACTCCTGTCAGAATGGCTAAAATCAAAGACATCATTGACAGTTTATGCTGAAGAGGAACACTCCTCCACTTCTGTGGAGTGCAAACTTGTACAGCCACTTTGGAAATCAGTATGGCGGTTCCTCAGGAAAATGGGAATCAGTCTACCTCAAGATCCAGTAGTTCCACTCTTAGGCATATACCAAAAAGATGCGCATTCATACAAGGTCTTCTGTTCAACTATGTTCATTAGCAGCACTATTTGTAATAGCCAGAACCTGGAAGCAACCTAGATGTCCCTCAACTGAAGAACGGATGAAGAAAAATGTGGTACATTTACACAATGGAGTACTACTCAGTGGGTGGGGGGGACAATGGGAATTCTGAAATTCGCAGGGAAATGGATGGAACTAGAAGAATCTATTTTGAGTGAGGTAATCTAGTCACAAAAAGACAAACACGGTATGTACTTACTCTTATATGGATTTTAGACATAGGGCAAAGGATTACCATCCTACAATCCACACTGCCAGAAAAGCTAGGAAACAAGGAGGACCCTAAGAGAGACAAACATGGTCCCCCTGAGAAGGAGAAAGGGACAAGATCTCCAGAGCAAATTGGGAGCATGGGGGGAGGGGAGAGGGAGTTAGGAGAAAAAGAAGGGGAGAAGAGGAGGGGAGAGGTGGGCATGAGGGAGCAGGAAGATTGAGTCCGGGGAAGAATAGAGGAGAACAAGAAAAGAGATACCTTAATAGAGGGAGCCATTATAGGTTTAAAGAGAAATCTGGCACTAGGGAAATGTCCAGAGATCTACAAGGATGACCCCAACTAACAAGCTAAGCAATAGTGGAGAGGCTACCTTAAATGCTCTTCCCTGATAATGAGATGATAACAACCTTATCTGCCATCCTAGAGTCTTCATCTAGTAGCTGATGGAAACAGAAGCAGACACTCACAGCTAAACACTATAGCCGAACTCCTGGAATCCACTTACAGAGAGGAAGGAGAAATGGTGAGTAAAGGGGTCAAGACCAGGCTGGAGAAATCCACAGAATCTGCTGACCTGAACAAGGGGGAGCTCATGGACCCCAGACAGATAGCTGGGAAACCAGCATAGGACTGACCTAGACCCCCTGAATGAGGGTGTGTGTTAGGAGGCCTGGGCAGTCTATGGGGCCTCTGGTAATGGAACATTATTTATCCCTAGAGTATGAATGGACTTTGGTAGTCCATTCCACATAGAGGGATACTCTCTTAGTCTAGACACACGGGGAGGGCCTAGGCCCTGCTCCAAATTATATGACAGAATGACAGACTTTGAAGACTCCCCATGGAAGGCCTCAGCCTCCCTGGAGAGCAGAAAGAGGATGGGATGAAGGTTGGTGGGGGGAGGGATAGGGGAGGATGGGAGAGTGAGGGAACTGGGATTGACATATAAAACAAGATTGTTTCAAATTTAAATTTAAAAAATTATCAAAAAAAAAAAAAAAAAACCAAAACCAAAAAAACCCAAATTAACAACAAAAGAAGACCGTTCCTTTTTATATTATACAACTTATTTGGGAATATAGTTATTCCTTTTTTCCACTTAAGTACTAGGATTGAATCCAGTGTTCCGTACATGGTAGGCAAGTTCTATATCAGTAAGCTACATTCCCAGCCCAGTTACTTATTTTTATTTATTTGGTTTTCTACATTTTCTATTTATTTGAGACAGGCTCTCATTATGTAGCTCTGGCTGGCCTGGAACTCATTGTGTGGACCAGACTGGTCTCAGAGATCTTGCCTTTGCCTCCCTAGTGCTCTGATTGGAGCCATAAGTCACATCATCACACCCAACCTTGTATTAAAGTTTTGAAAGTCAGAAACAGAAAAAAGTCAAGAATTGGAAATTTCCTACCACAGAACACATATTTATAAAAGGAAGGGTGAAAATAAACTCATTTGCTCCTTTTGAGCGTTTAAATATGCAGTCCTCAGGCTAGGCGTGTAGACTGAGGGCACACACCTGCAACCCTAATACTGGGGAGGGTGGAAGCAGCAGGAATACAGATTCAAGACCAACCTGGGCTACAAGACCCTGTCTCAGCACTTCCCAATTCCCCCGCCCAAAAGCATCCAGTGTAAAATGGTTAACACCAAGTATTTTTCTCTGCTTTAAAAAACTAAAACACACACACACACACACACACACACACACACACACACACACACGAGCATCATATATGCTCATGAACAAATGAAGTTTACTTTATTCAAATAATCACCTGTGCCTCATTTATATTAGTATTTCAACAGTCACTAATTTTTATTCTATTTTCATTTTTTGTTGCTGTTTCTTTTTTTATCTTTTTTTTGGTTTTTCAAGACAGGGTTTCTCTGTATAGCCCTGGCTGTCCTAGAACTTACTATGTAACCTAGGCTGGCCTGAGAGTGGGGTTAAAGGTGTGAGCCACCATGCCCAGCATTGTTACTGTTTTAATTAAGAATAATTATTTCCCTCAGTACCACACTGTGAAACTGTCATATTTTCATTTTAGAGTGAGGTATAGCTATTTTTTCCCCTTAAATTAACCTTGAACTCCCGAGAATGACCTTAAACTTCTGGTTGTCCAGCCTTCTTTGTGTTGGTATCACATGTGTGTGCTATCAAGTTGTTTATGTAATAATAATAGGGCTTTATACATGCTAGGCAAACACTTAAATAACCAAAGTACGTCTCAGCCCAAGCCATAACTATTTGGTTGCTGCTTGTTGAACTGTTTGTCTATTATGTAGACCGGCTAGCCTGGGACTGACAAATCCACCTGCCTCTGCTTCCTAAATGCTGAGATTAAAGGCCTGCACCATCTCACCTAGATTTCAGAGACAGGGTCTAATGTAACAGATACTGACATTAAACTCATGATCCTCCTACTTCCCCTCCTGAGTGCTGGGATTCTAGACATGTATCACCATGCATGGCAAGGGGTAACTTTTTCCTTTCTTTAAAAAAATTTTTTGGAGGCACAACTTTTTGACAGATTAAAACCTTTCAACAGTGTTCATTTATAATCCCTTGATATAATTCCCCACAATCTTCCTTTTCCCAGAAAGAAAAATGCCATGGCTTTAAAAGTTATTATAAATCTGGCTGTGGTATAGACCTACAACCCCAGCAATTAGGAAGCTGATGCAGAAGGACTGAAGTTCAAGGCCAGCATTAACTATACACTGAGTCCAAGACCAGCCTGCATTACAGTGAGACTCTGTCTTAAGTAGATCAAACAAGCAGCACTCAGAAAAAGAAAAGGAATGGGCTGTGAACACAGAGCAGCATGTGTGAGGACCTAAGTTCAATGTCTATACAGGAAAACAAGTCTGAGAAGTGTTTTCACTTTACCTTTTTGTGGCATTGGAGATTCAGCCCATGGTCTTATACACTCAGCAAGTGTTCTATCTCAGGACTTTAATCCCAGCATCATTTAGGGAATGTTTTTTATAAGAGTGGGCATCAGAATGTCCATTCATGTCTAGGAAATGGATTCTGCTCATTTTTAAGCCTAAAATAGACATCTCATTATGAGAGTATTACCTGAGGTTGCTTTGGTGTTGGCGGAAGAAACAAAGCTAGCGAGGTTAACGACCTCTCCAGAGGTGAAGATGAATGGCGCAGTCACAGTCACAGGGTTAGTCACTGGGTTGGCTCTCTCGGGGTTAACATTCACCTGATTCTGCATTGCTTCCTACCAAACAAAGCAGGATATTCCAAAGTCAGAACTTTCCAAAGTCATACGGTCACTGACCAGCACAGCCCCTCCCCACCACAGAGCTCTCTGCCAGACAGAACTAGTCTAGCATACAATCAATGTCCAGGGAGCTAAGACTGCTGCTTTTCTCAAACTAAAGCAACAAAAGCAAAGGTGTACTAGTCACAAAGCCTTCTACATGCTTTACTTAGCCTCTTGGCATTTTTTTAAATTAAAGAAAAAAAAAAAAAAGGGAAGGAACTGGTCTGGATAGTCTAAAAGGTAATTTGCAGCACTGATATTCTGTGATCAATTATCTACAAGACAAGGTGCTAGCAGAAGATCCCTGCAGAGAAAAATACTCTCTAGAGTTTTATTCTACAACCTGTCCTATTCTGCCACTGAAGAAATTCCTCAGAGAGCATATAACAAGCAGATAAATGAGTGGCAGATTTTGAAGTCTAGTTCCATATGCTACATCCTTTCTTCTAAGGATGTCTGCTCAATTTGGTGAAAAGATGCTTATCTTTTATTTTTACTCTCAGAAGTTTTCTACAAACATGATAACTACTAAAACGTCCAGTTATGAAAGGACTTTGGACAATAACTGAAAGTTGAGAATAACCAGTCTTTGGAAAACCATCTGTCATGAAAAACAAACAAAAACTGAAAATGCACAAGCAGCTATTTTTCATATGTAATTATCCCCTTGACTGAGAACTTCAATTGAAATAGATTATTCATTCTCCGGATACTGTTAGGTTCTTTCTTCAATCTGCTCTTTCCACAGCAGAAGCACTCACGGGCAGGCCAGCTCAGGCTGATGAAAATAATCATATGCTATTTAGCATTGTCTTCTCCATCCAATGTGAGTACCAACTCCAATCACCTTTTTAAAACAATCACACCAATCCTGAATTCGAGTTTCTAAACCACATGTGGCAATTCAAACCTGTCATCCCAGCACTCCAGGAAGTAGAGCCACACATGGCAAGTTTATTTTTCAATCCCCACAAAAAAAACCAAAACAAAACAAAACAAAAAACTCCCAGCACTCAGGAGTTAAGAGAGGCAGGTTGATCTCTGTAAATTTAAGGACAGCCAGCTGGGTTTACAAAGCCATGTCCAGAAAAGCTAGCTAGGCTATATAAGGAGCCACAGTCTTAAAAACTCACAAAACAAAAAAAGTTTCTACTATGTTTTCACTACCCACGTAAGAACTCACTAAGCATGTAACAAGATCACATGCATAACTCCCAAGCACTGCTATCCCCAAAGGCCAGGTCCATTGCTCATTCTCTAGATACATAACTACTTTTTTCTTTAAACATTCCATGTTATTTCACATCTCTCTGTTTTTAGTTTGTGCTTATTCTAGTATAGAATAACTTTTTCCTGATAATAAACACAATTAAATGTTTTCAATCATATTTCTTTGTGTGTGTGTGTGTGTGTGTGTGTGTGTGTGTTGGGGGGGTTGTTGGCATATGCATGTGGAGAGCAGAAAACAATTGTCTAGAGTCAGTTTTCTCTCCTTGCACCATGTGGGTCCAGGGAACCAACTCAGAGCATTAGGGTTGACAGGTGCCTCTACCAGAGCCATTTCACTGACCCAATTATTTTTTTTCACACTTATTTGTTTATCTATTCAAGACTGTGTGTAGGGGCTTGAAGAGAATGCTCAGAGGTTAAGAGCACTGAGTTCAATTCCCAAAAACCCTGTGGTGGCTCACAGCCATGTGTAATGAGATCTGGTGTCCTCTCCTGGCCTGCAGGGATACATGCAGGCTGAACACTGTATACATAATAAATAAATAAATCTTTAAAAAAAAAAAAACCCACAAAACTCTTTGGGTAAACAAGACAGTTGTGGCACATGACTTTAATCCCAGCACTCAGAGGGCAAAGTTAGGTGGATCTCTGTGAGTTCAAGGCAAGCCTGATCTATAGAGCAAGTTCCAGGACAACCAAAGTTACACAGAGAAACCTGTATTGAAACACCTACCCCTCAAAGACTGTATAGCTTTAGCTGTTTGGGAACTCAGTATATAGATTGAACCAGTCTTGAATTCAGAGATCCGCCTGCCTCTGCCTCCTGAGTGGTAGGATTAAAGGTGTGCACCACCATGACTGGCTCTACATGCTTTTTTTGAGTCAGTGTGTATGGGAGGGTCAGAGGATAACTGTCAGGAGTCAGTTTTCACTTTCCAGCATGTGGGAGGTTCCAGGGACTAAATGCAGGTTGTCAGGCTTGGCAGCAAACACTTACCCACTAAGTAATTCCCTAAGCTTAATTTATTGGAACTTAGCTTTTGATGGCTTCAGGTTCTGTCTTTGTGGAGATGAAAGGTGTGTGTGTTTGTAGAGAGGTGGGGGCCTCTGCCTTTCAGGTCCAGGTATCTGTTTCCCTTTGTGTGAGTATGGGGCATTGCACAATTGCTCAGGATTGTGGTTTTTTTTTTTTTTTTTAGAGGTTTTTTTTTTTTTTTTTTTGGAGACAGTGTCTCAAGTTCAAGTAATTCAGGTGGCACATAAACTTACTATGTAGCTGAAGATGAATTTGAATTTCTATTCCTCCAACTTCCACACACTCTATAATGGTGGGATTATATAGGCACTTGCCACTTTGACTGGATAGTGACTTTGTATGGATATGTATGCGTGGGAGAGTGCAGCCTGAGGACAACCTTGAGTATTGTTCCTCAGATGCGATCTACCTTGTTTTTCTGAGGTAGGTAGGGTCTTTCACTGCTCTGGAGTTTATCAAGAAGGCAAGGCTGGCTGGGCAGCAAGCACCAGAGGTCTGTCTCTGTTCCCCCCCTTGAGATTATAAACAGATTGTTTCCACAGATGTTTCACAATTATTTTAATTATTATTTTTTGTTGTATGTGTACATTTGCCAGGGCACACACATGCATGGATCTAAGGCATGAATTCCTCGTATTTGCAGCATTCCCTCTAAACTGGAACATCTGCTCCAGGAAGGAAGGAGAGTCTGGCCAGCAAAAAGCTACATACGAGAGAAGCTTGGAAGACTCTTGAGGGCGCTGCTGACAATGTAGAAGGGAGCAATAGTTGTGGGGATCAAGACTGACCAGCCAAGTACAAAGAGGAAGGCCTTAGGAATGTGGTGCTGCCTGACAGTGGCTACTGTGCTCCAAGGCTGCAGTTTTCCATGCACGTTGAAGCTGCTTTTGTGTTATCCCTGCTCCTTGTAAGATCCCCTCACCCATACTTCCATTAATAACCCCAATAAAAATTCATTGCTTCACCAAATTGGATTTTGGTGCAATATATGGTTACTTTGTTCTGCCATGTGCTCCCTTTCTGGATTGGGTAGACACATGAATTATGTCTCCCCAGGAAAAATCTGTCACTCAAACAGCAGGTGAGAGGACACTTGCAGGAGTTGATTTTCTCCTTAAAGGTGGATGGATACTGGGGACTGAAACCAGGCCATCACATTGGCAGCAAGGGCCTTTACCCACAGAGTCACCTCCCTGCCCACACCTGGCTTTTCTGTAGGGTTCTGGGGTTCAAACTCAGTTCCTCATGTCTATAAGACACACTTTCCCAACTAAGCTAAATCCCAGCCCTGGAGAGCGACTTTCTTTCTTATCTAAAATCATTTTCTTTTTAATGTGTGGAAGTATTGTTATTTCTCTATTTTTAGTTTCTCTGGGTAAACAGCCCTGGCTATCCCAGAAATCACTCTGCAGACAAGGCTGGCCTCAAACTCACAGAGATCTACCTGCCTGTGCCTCCCAAGTGCTGGGACTAAAGTTATGCACCACAGTTCTCATTGGTAAGAATTTTTGATCCCTGAGCCATATCTCCAGCAACAACAATTTATTTTTCTTTTCTTAACCCAGGGTCTCACTATGTAGCCCTGTTTGGACTGGAACTTGCTATGTAGAATAAGGAGGGTTGGAACTCAAACTCATTAAGATCTTCTTGTCTCTCCCTCCTGAATGCTAGGATCAAATAAGAGTACCAGTGCCTTTTTTTCCCCCCTAAACTAGGTTTTCTCTGTGCAAGCTTTGGAGCCTGCCCTGAATTCACTTTGTAGACCAGGTTATCCTCGAACTCAGAGATCTGCCTGACTCTGCCTCCTGAGTGCTACAATTAAAGGCATGTGCCACCACCATTTGGCCAGCCTGTGACTTCTAAGATTGTCCCAAGTCTAGTTAACTACAAATGGAAACTTTAATGGAGAGGAAAGTAATGGACAGTCAAATAAATGTTAATTCTGTTCTGACTTCACTTTTCTTTTCAATTTAACACATTTATAGAAGAAAAAAAATTATTCATAAATTGGGCAACTCTCAAACCAGAAACGGTTTATAGAGTTCTGTTCTGCAATGTCAGCAATGAGTATTTTTGGAATAGTTCTTTAATCACCATGAGTGATACAGGACTTTCTAGTGTTCTAATTTAAAAATAAAAAATAAAACAAACAAAAGAAAACCAAAATACAGACCTGGTTGGAGAGACTATTTTTGGCTTCACAGTGAGACTCTATCTCAAAACAAAGGCCAGGTACAGTAGTCCAGTCTGTAATCCTAGCTTAAGTGAGGTAGAGACAGGAGGATCAACAGTCTTCTTTAGCTAAGATTTGAAATCACCCTGGGATCCTTGAGACCCTGCCGCTACTGGGTGTATGTGTGATAGAGAGAGGTTTGCTAAAGGTGCTACTCTGATAAAATGGGGGAAATTCTCTTTTAATCTAACTCTCTCACAATAATCTAGAAGTTGAGGTGTACTTGGGGATATAAAGGAACATACCTGTAGGATGATCAGAATCTCAGTGTTGTTTTTCTCCAGTGCGATGTCAAAAGCAGACTTGTCAAACTTGCTGAAAGCATGGACATCAGCACCATATTTGATGAGTAATTCAACCACATCTCGGTGGTGGTGCTCTGTGGCCCAGTGCAAAGCTGTCATCTTCAGCATGTCCTTGGCATTCACATCTGCACCACTCTGTTAGAGAGAAGCAGCTTTTCAGAAGACGCTGACTATAGGAGCCCAGGTGTAAGATCCCATTACTTAAGGGATGTCAAAGGGAAAACATTTTCAAGTCTGAATGAAAGCTGAGACATTATGCTTTCACTGAGTGGGTCTGCTAAGGACATCACAGGGAAATTCTAACAGATGGTTGAGGAAGGAGGGAAGGAACAGATTCTGTTGCATTTATTAGCAGAAAGCTGAGTAGGGCCTGAAAAAAAAAATAAGCATATATACAGAGAACACCTACAGAAAAGGAATGAAGAAAAATCAATAAAATCTGTTTAAACTTTAAAAAAATTAGAAAACAAACTCATCTTCCCAACTCTTGAAACATGGTTGTAATGAATAAATTAATCTAAATAGAGATACAACTTAATGACCATCCACTGTTAAGTCTTTCCAGCCCACTTTCCTACCACTATGTAAGAAACAACACCTGCTTTACAGCACTTCCCATCACTGCTATCACCACTCCCGCTTTACCCTGACAAGCAGCTCCACGATGTGCGCATGTCCATCAGCAGCAGCCATATGCAAAGGGGTCCTGTCCACTTTGGTCCGGGCGTCCCTGCTAACACCTGCTCGAAGGAGTACTTCCGCTGTGGAATAATGACCATACTGGGCTGCAAGGTGAAGAGGTGATGTTCCAAGCTGTGGGAGAAACAATACTCATTGATTTCCACTCTGTGTAGAACTGTATCATTTCTGGGTAGAAGTATATGAACAAGAAATGAATCCTATAGTATTCATCCTTGGAGAAAGAATCTTACTGGGCAGATAAGACTGAAGAAATAATACAATTTAAAAATTAATAAATGGGCCTGGAGAAATAACTCAGTGGTTAAGAGAACTGAGTTCAGTTCCCAGCACGAATGTTAGGTGAGTCATAGCTATATTCCAGGTGCACGTGATCCAATACCCTAGTTTCCTGTACTCACATGTCCCCACACAGACATACACATATATACATAATAAAATAAATAAAATTAATATGTTAATGAGCAGTCAAAGGGACCACAAATTAATTTAATATAAAATGTAATCATTTTAAGTCAGGTAGATTTACTGGGTAAGACTAAAGTATAGGATTTTAAGCAGGGCTTACCAGTCCTCTGTTTTGTTTTGCTTTGTATCAAAAAGATTATTCTAAGCTGAGCAGTGATTGCTCATGCCTTTAGTCCCAGCACACAGGAGGCAGAGGTGGGTGGATCTGTGAGTTCCAGAACAGTAAGTTCCAGGACAGCCAGGACAACGCACAAAAACCCTGTCCTGAAACAAACACACAAACAAAACAGTATTCTGAGCTGTGTATGTGGCATTTGCCTTTAGTCCTAGCACTTGGAAGGCAGACTTAGGCAGATCTCTGTAAGACAGAGGCTCAGGATAGCCAGAGTGTCATTGAGAGACCCTGTCTCTAAACAAACTAACTAACTAAAAAGAAAGAAAAAAAGGAAGAAAGAACCAGTTGGATCCTGAAGTTATAAATTAATCATATTATAATAATCATCACCTCATCATAAAATTGTTAACATCAGTCAAATGCTTAGAACAATCTGTGAATGCAGGCTGGAGAGATGGCTCAGAGGCTAAGAGCACTGGCCTTAGAGTCCTAAGTTCAATTCTCAGAAACCACACAGTGGGTACAACCACCTATAATTAGATATGGTGCCCTCTTCTGGCATGTAGGCAAAACACTGGATACACAATAAATAAATAAATACATCTTTAAAAAAAAGAAAAAAAATTGTGCATGTTAAGATGCCCCACATTGCCAGACTGTGGCCGTACAAGCCTTTAATCCCAGCCCTCGGGAGGCAGAGGCAGGTGAATCTCTGTGAGTTCAAGGCCAGCCTGGTCTATAGAGTAAGTTCCAGGACAAGTTCCAAAAGCTACAGAGAAAACCTGTCTCAAAAACAAAACAAACAAACAAAAAAAGATGTCTCACATTATTACATGGATCTGAAACTTCTAAAACACTTTGGTCTCCAAGTTGAGTTGGTTGACAGGCTCATTATATTAAACCTTTCTTTCTTCCTTTCCTTTTCTCTTATTTCTTTCTTTCTTTTTTGCTTGCTTGCTTTTTTCTTCTTCTGAGAGAGGGTTTTCTATGTAGTCATGGTAGTCCTGGAACTCACTCTGTAGACCAGGCTGGCCTCCAACTCATAGAAATCCACTTCTATCTGCCTTTTGACTGCTGCGATTAAAATCAAGCACCATCGCCTCTGCTTGTCCCACCCTCTTTTTTCTGTACAGACGCTTACTATGTAGACCAGGCTGGCCTTCAATTCATAGCTAATCCTCCTGATTCTGCCTCCCAAGTGCTGGGATTAAGGATGTATACAACTGGCTGGCAGTGGTAGTGCACACCTTTAATCTCAGCACTTGGGAGGCAGAGGCAGATGGATCTCTGTGAGAGACCAGCCTGGTCTACAATTTTCAGGAGAGCCAGGATTGCTACACAGACAAACCCTATCTTGAAAAACAAAAACAAACAAACAAAAAGATGTATACAACTATGGCTGGTATTTGTAATATTTATTTGCATGTATGTATGTGTACACACAGGTAGGTATATATGTGTGGAGGTCAGAAGATAACTTTTGGGAGTTTTTTTTTTTTTTTTTTTTGAGCAAGATTTCATTATGTAGCTTTGGCTGTCTTGGCCCTTGCTATGTAGACCAGGATGATCTCAAACTCACCAAGTTTTGCCTCCCAAATTCTAGGATTAAAGGCATATACAATCACAGGTGCAAATAAAAATATAAAAAATAAAGAAAGGAAAAATTTCCCAGTATTTAACAGCTCACGGTTACTACCTATATATTGACAGGCAACTTTTAATGGAAAACTAACGAGGGGAACTGCAACCAACAGGTGAGGCCTGGTTAGCCTTAGGGCAGGTTAAGGCACACTTGGAAACGATTGGGGCCTCCTGCTCAACTTACCCAGTCTGTGGTGAATGGGGCCCCGTTGGCCATCAGCGTTCTCACTTCATCATCTTGGCCTTTTCTTGCAGCTTCTAGCAGCCTCTTCCCCAAATCCACCAGAGACATCTTTATACATAGGAACAAAAGTACCCAGGTAGCTGCAATTCCAACACAAGGGAAGCAGTTGTCAATAAATGTTCCCTTGCTTTTTGTTTGTTTTCTCTAAGTCATGGTTTTGCCATTCAGTTCAGGCTATCCTGTAACTCACTACACAGTCATGAAAGCAGCAAACTCAAAATCTTTCTTCCCCCACCCACCAAATGCTAAGATATAGACATGTGCCACCATAATCACAATGAAATGTGTTCACTGGATGTTTTTGTTTGGGGGACAGGAGCTCATGTAGCCTACATGGACCTCAAGTTTGCTATGTAGCTAAAGATGGCCCTGAAACTTTTGATCTTTCTGATTCCACCTCCCAAGTGCTAGGATTACAGCCTAATGTCACCACACCTGCCCTTTCCGTTTTTTATTTTGAGAGAGGATCTAGCTACATTGCTCAGGCTGGTGTGAAACTTACGCCACAGCTCAGGAAGCCTGTGATCTTTCCACCTCAACTTCCCAAGCAGCTAGGATCACAGGTTTTCATTACCAGACCCAGTGATGAAATATAATTTTAAAGTGTACAGTTCAAAACATGCACCCTGGTTTCCAGGCAAGGCACAAGGATACCTACCTGAAAATGCTGCTTGACAGAAATTTTGAGTTAATAATCACCCTTAGGCATGGCCTTGGAGGGCCATGAGCTAGTCCTGTAGCTCATGACTGGATTGGATGAGAAATGCATGATTATTTCTCTGGTTGGGCCAAGAGAACCTGTATAGGGTGTGGAGACTCATGACCCAGCCTTTGATGAGCTCAAAAACTGACCAATTTCAATAACGACTGCCCCGTTTCAACCCAATTCCTTTGTAAAATATAAAAGGCCACCAGGCAGGGCCTGTGAGATGGCGTGGCAGGCCAAAGTGATTCTTTTCTTTTTAATTAATTTTTTAAAAATTTTATGTATTTGTACATTTTTTTTTAAAGGTATGAGTGTTCTGTCTACATGTCTGCCTACATGTCTGCCTACATGCCAGAAGAGGGCACCAGATCTTATTATAGATGGTTGTGAGTCACCAGGTGGTTGCTGAGAATTGAACTCAGAACCTCTGGAAGAACAGCCAGTGCTCTCAACCACTGAGCCATCTCTCCAGCCCCAAAGTGCCTTCTACAAAAGCTGGATAACCTGAGTCCTATCCCCTAGAATTCTTGGTAGAAGGACAGAATTGTCCTCTGTATGCATACAGTGGAGTTCAACCCCTGTACCCATCATACCCAAGCAACAATAAACTCTTGGGAGTTTTTCATTTTTCCTACTAAGAAGCATCTTTTCTAAAATGAATTACAACTATTAATCTTTTTGTTTTCTAGCTATGGCAAAATGTTGCAATGCTAATCAAAGTTTACAGAGAGCAAACAGATTTTTTTTTTTTTTTTTTTTTTTTTTTTTTTTGAGAAGGAACTCTGGCACCCCAAGATGACCTTTAATTTACCATGTAGATGAGGATAACTTTTAACTCCTGACTGTCCTCTGTCTTCACTTCCCAGGTACTGAGATTAGGGGCAAGTGATACCTTAGCCAGCATGGCAAGAATAAACTCCCACTGGCCAATGATTTGCTTAGGACAGCAGTTCATAAGTGTGGTTTATGGCTCCTGAGCCATATTAATAACCTTACAGGAATTCATGTGGTTCAAGCTATTTTTGCTATAATACTAAGGCATCATTTGACATTTTATTTGTTTTATTTAAGCAGCTTATCATTTTCAATGATAGTGAGACTAGCACGGAGTGTATAATTGCTATTGCCTTTGCCCAAATCACATTGTGAAATAAACTTACTGTATTCAGTGCCATGTACTTTAGGGTGGTGGTGGTGCACACCTTTAGTCCCAGCACTTGGGAGGCAGAGGCAAGTGGATCTCTGGGAGTCTGAGGCCAGTGTGGTCTACAGTGAGTTCCAGGACAGGCTCCAAAGCTACACAAAGAAACCCTGTCTTGAAAAACAAAAGCCCTTGCCCTGTCAGGAGGTACATACCTGTAACACCAGTACTCAGGAGTGGAGGTAGGATGATGAGAAACACAAAGCCAGCTACACTAAGTTCTACACGGACCCGGGCTATATGAGGGCCAGTCTCAATTTTCTTTTTCCATTCTTTCTCCCGACTCTCTCTTGTGTGTGTGCATCAGAGAACAGTTTACATGAGTTGGTGCTCCCCGCCTACCATTCCGCTCTAGGGATTGAACTCAGGTCATCTGGCTTCACCTCTCCAGTCTGACCACCTGAACTTAATCCTAGGATCCACACAGTAAAAGCACAAGAGTAGCTCCAGAAAGTTGCCCTCTGACCTCTACATATGCACCATTAGTGCTCAGAATCACCCCTCCAAGAAATTAGTAAGAATCTCAAAGTAGGGCCTTGTGGCAAAGGCCTATAATCTCAGTAATTTCAGTTTCTTGAAGATTGAAACAGGAAGATTCCAAGTTTGAGACCAACCTAGGCCATAAAAAACTAATCAAAGGCTCACTTTGTAGAGGGTTGCTTAGTGCCAAAGCGAGGGGCTTGATCTGAGAATGATGGTGCAAAAGTTCAAGGCCTGTCTGGACTATAATATGAATTCAAGCATAGCGTGGGTAATTTAGTGAGACTTGCCTCAAATTAAAGAATAGTAAAAACCAGCTCAGTAGTAGAACTTCTTTACTATGTGCAAGGCTCTGGATTCAAGTCCCAGTACAGCCAAAAATAAAGTATAAGACAGACAGCTGGGGCTGGAGAGATGGCTCAGCCGTTAAAGGCTAGGCTCACAACCAGAAATATAAGACATACAGTTGTTTTTTTAGGTACACAGAACAAAAATTCTTTTGATATAGTTTTAGATTTATCTTTTCAACTAATTTTATTATTTTTATATTACTTGTGTGTATGACTATTTTTGCCCAGATGTATGTCTGTGTACTGCCTTCATGCAATGCAGGCCAGAAAAGAGCATCAGATCCCCTGGAATAGAAGTTACAGGTGGTGTGAGCTGTAAAGTGGGTGATGGGAATTGAACCTAGGCTCTTGGAAAGAACACCCAATACTTTTAACTGCTGAGCCATATCTTCAGCCCTTGCAACTATCCCCCCCTACCTCCACGCCAGTGCAGAGGACCAAACCCAGGGTATTTCTGTGCTAAATTATCAATCTTGCAGCTAGCTTTTAAGAAATTACCACCTATCTTGTGAGCGATGCAATACAATGGCAGAGTGCTTGTCTACCATGCATGAGGCCATATGAACCACAAAATAAATTACCACTTGCCAAGCTTTGGTGTAGCATCAAAGAATACCTACCATCAGGTAGAAAAGGTATTAAAAATCTAGGTGTGGCCAGACCTGCTGGCTCATGCCTGTAACTCCTGTGTAACTATCCTCACAGGAATGAAGACAGGCAGAGAAAATTGTCACCTCAGAAAGATCTCAAAGTTCTAACAATTTGTCAGACCACCTTGCAGGAGACTGAAGCTAATGATAGTAGTCATACCTTGACCAGGAATGGTTAGTTATTCGAACACACCTTTTTTGGGGGAGGGGGGGAAAGGGTTTCTTTGTAGCTTTGAAGGCTGTCTTGGAAATTCATCAGTAGACCAGGCTGGCCTCAAACTCAGAGAGATCCACCTTCCTCTTCCTCCTGAGTGCAGGGATTAAAGGCAGGCACCACCACCATCCTACTCATACACATCTTCTATCATCCTAAAATTCATGTATTTCAGAACCCCAAAACAGACAGGGGTGTGCGGAATGGATCTCTTTCCAGTGTGACCACACTGAATAAATCCTTTTCTGCTTTTCATCATTAATGGTGCATTTAATTGACATATTTGATGATGGGTGGCCAAGCCCAGCTTGCTAGAGATGTCAGGGCCCAAGCTCTGAACTTAATGTGTATGGTAACAATTTTAGCAAACTATGGCAAGGAGAAAACAGTCAGCCACTCTCTCCCAATGGAGAGGAAAGGCTGAATGGTACAGCAGCTGCTAGAGTCACTTTATTCCAGAGACTTCTTCCTTTCAAGACAGCGTCTCTTTACAAAGCTCTGGCTGCCCTGAAACTCACTAAAAGGACCAGGCTGGCTTCAAACTCATTGATCCACCTGCCTGTGCTGCCTCCTGAGTGCTAGGATTAAAAGGCATGTGCTACCATGCCTCAACAGATAGCGAATTCTGTCTTCTCACTTCAGCTTTCATCTGCTGTTGTTCTTTTACCTCTATTTAGTGAAACAGAGAAATGAGTTGCACTTGGACTGGCCTGGCCCTTGGAAATTTTTTCCAAGGCTTTATCTTTTGTAGTTCTGAACTATTTTGTTTCTTTCGAACTATTTGAGTTATTATACTGTTTGTACATTAGGGGCCTTGTCAACTGTGTGTATGTTTTGTCTGTGTATGTCTGTGCCCACATGTGTGTCTGGAACCCAAGAAGGCAAAGAAGGCATTGGATCTCCTGGAAATAGGTTCATGGTTGTGAGCCACCATGTAGGTGCTAGACTCAAACCTTGGTCCTCTAAGAGAACAGCTAGTGCTCTTAACCATTGAGCCACCTCTCTAGCCTGAGGCTTTGGCAATTTCAAAGCTCTTGTGACGGAATCAGTAGTTTGGTAGAAGGATCTGGAAATTCACACATGATGGTTAAAATGTGTCAGTATTTTGTGGCTATTCTTTGCTGGCCAAGCAAGCATGCTGAGAACTCTACCTTCATGGCCCTTGGGAAATTCTAGCTGATTAGTCTTTTGTAAACTCATGGCACAGAACTTAATCTTTCTGCAGAGTTCCCGAAAAATAACAGTAGCATGGCCCTGGCCCCTTCATTATGCACTTTTCTTTTGAACTTTGTATCTGTGACATCCCTGCTTTAAAAGGTGGGTATCCATAATACTATCTGAGGACAGATTTGGGAGCTACTCTCCCTGGCCTATCTGAGGACAGATTTGGGAGCTACTCCCTCTGGTTAGTAAACTAAAATACAGGACTAAGTAGCTAACCATATAAATTGGGACTAGATGATGCCCCTCCTTCCCCCA